GTTTCCCCATGTTGGCCAGGCTGGTCTCGAACTCTTGACTTCAAGTGATCCACCCACCTCCACCTCCCAACGTGCTGGGATTACAGGCATGAGCCACCATGCCCAGCTGGAAGAACATTTTTGATGCACTAAGTTTGCAGTCAAGGTTATTTGAAATGGACCGGGCTAAACTCTCAGAAGGAGATACGTGGACGGCAGAGTCTCAGGGCAGCTTGGACGCAGTGAGTAAATGCCAGTCCCAAACACATGAAAGCCAGCATGGCACAAAGCCTGCAATTAGCTTGCAAAACAGTCTTTGAAAAGGTCTATTTCTGAGAAATAAAATGTGTAAAAATTCAGTTTATTTTAATCTGTGGTTATAACACCAGATGAAAGTACAAATTTTAAATTATTTATTATTTCAAAGTAAAACTTCACCTGGTAATCAAACTCAGTACTAATTAAATAAAAATAACAGGGTATTTTTATTTGGAAAGCTTTTATGGGTAAGGAAAGTCAATGCACTTTGTCTTCTCTGTAGTACAATTCCCTTGCCCCACACTGGCTGGGTAAGGTGTACAAAGGCTATGGGTCATTTTTAATAAGTATGAAGCCATATGGGGTACGTTATGTTTGAGGATATAAAAGTATAATTTCTTGATCTTTACTTGGTTTTAGATAGGGTGAAAAGCACGAAGCACACACTTCCCGACACTGTGACTCTGTGGGTCTATTCTCAGTACCCAGAATAGAGCTTGTAGTGGAATAGAAGCCCAGTAAAAATGTGTTGAGAGTAAATGAATGAATCTGCAACTGTGAGCCTTAGAGCCACTCTATTTCCGGTAATTGGCTCTACTGCCCTCTGGATCAGGGATGAGTTCTTTATTTTAGTTCCCTATATTCAAAGGGAAGGTAAGTCTTCTGACTGGCCTCAGGTATACTGCATAGGGCTGTAGACTTATTTTTTTCAAAATAGAAAATTGCCTTAATTTTAATTTGGCCTTAAGTAACATATGATCATTATAAAGAAAAATAAATACCAAAAGCAAAAAAAAAAAAAAATTAAAATGACCACCATCCCCCAGAGAAAATGGCTAGTCTTATTTTAGAGGAGGAAGCCAAGGTCTGGAGCTAAAGGAAGAGAGTCTTGCCCAGGGTCTCATGTGCCCTTTGTCTTCAGATCAAAACCATGATTTTAGATGGCCTTCATTTCTGCTTCTGGCCACCTGTTTCCTGCACACACCCTGTACTTTCCCACCAGAGCTGGCTGAACCATAAAGCCTGACTTTCACTGTTCTCAGAAATGATCAGATTTTACAAAATCCTGAAGGGTGGACATGGGCTTACCCAAATCTCAGAATAGCAGAACTAGGAGGTTCACCTTGAAACATGGAAAGGTAAACTTAGTACAAGTAAAAGGAAATATGTAAGTACTACTCTTTCTTAAGAAGAGAAAGAGAGAGAGAGAGAGGGAAAGAAAGAAAATAAATGGAAGCAAGAAAGAAAAGGAAGGAAAGAAGAAATTAAAAAAAGAAAAAAAACCAATATAATATTCCAAAGAAGTAATACAGACAGAAATGTAAGTTAAACAAGGTTAGGATAAATGTGTGTAAGTTTATTTTAGGTTATGTAGGATACATAGCTAAGATTTACTGTCTATACTCCTTTTACAACTGGCATTAAAAGAAGGCAAATTCTTCCACACCAAACAAAAAAGCTGAAGGAATGAACCATGTAGCTGTGCAGTCAATTCTTAGGCAAAGTCCTGAATCTGAAGAAACCGAGTTCATTCACTCCAATGACAGTACGCCTCTAACCACAGCAATATAACTCTGTCACACTGCTCTCAGTGATTCCCTGACCCCCTGTTCACGTAGAAAGCAAAGATGCTGACAATGCCAATCTGGCCTGATGCCAATGTCTACGTCCTCAGTCCCGAACCTCTCTAGCCACAACTCTGTCAGGCCTGCCCCTACACCCTGGCCTGACTGCTTTCTGACTCTGTTACACTTGGGTTTCTTGGCATGCTGTGAGGTACATAAAGGCAGGAATTATGTCTATTTCTTTAACACCATTATTTTTCACATCCTTAGCACAGACACTTAAACCTGATTAGTGCTTAATAATACTGTAGTTGTTGGATGAAGACATCTTGTAGACTATCATGAGAACCAGAGGTGAAATAACAGCATCAGAAGGAATAGAGGTGTGCTTCAGGCTGGGCACGGTGGCTCACGCCTGTAATCCCAACACTTTGGGAGACCCAGGTGGGCAGATCACCAGGTCAGAGTTCAAGACCAGCCTGGCCAACATGATGAAACCCGATTCTACTAGAGATACAAAAATTAGCCGGGTGTGGTGGCGGGCGCCTGTAATCCCAACTTCTCGGGAGGCTGAGGCAGGGGAATCGCTTGAATCCAGGAGGTGGAGGTTGCAGTGAGCTGAGATCGTGCCACTGCACTCCAGCTTGGGTGACAGAGCAAAACTCCATTAGAAAAAAAAAAAAAAAAAAAAAGAAGTGTGTTTCACCAGGCCCAGCAGTGGCCCACAAGACTTCCATGTCCACCACGTCCACTCAACACTGGGCCTCAGACTCTCCCTCATTCTCCCCCATCTCCCTGGTACACCGTCTTCTTTAATGGTTTCCATTATAACTTTATGACCTCTCACTTTTTCTGCATTTGCTTCTCTGGGAATATCCTTCAGCTTTTGTACTAGCACCGCCATACTGTGTCTGCCCAAATTGATTCATCCTAATTTCTCTCTCTTTTTGAACAAACAGTAAAATTTCCTATCTGTACATGCCTGCAGGAAATCTCCATTTGGATGTGATTTCTACCTGAAATTAAACACTACTCCTCTGACCATTCAAGAAGGAAATCCTCCATTTGGGACAAAGCAACTTTCCTTCCAGCTCCTCAGACATATATTCTTTGGAATTGTCTGTAAGTTTTTTGCTTTCTTAAAAGGTTTGCTAATTCTCCCTCTGTAAAGACGCTGATATTTGATCTTTCTTCATTTCGACAATCACTCACCTGATTCAGGCCCTCATTACCCTATTACCATATTATCCTATGTTCCATATTATCTCATCCAGTGCTGGTATCCCTATATTTTAGTCTCCTGTAGATAAGTTTCTCCAGCATAGTGTCATCACACATAACTTCCTTGTTAAGTTTCTGTCTATTCCTTGTATGGGAAATAGAAACAGCCAAGATATGCAAGTCCAATCCATTTTCCCTCAAACACTCAACAAGTTTCTTGCACCAGGATTTTTTTTTTTTTTTTTTTTTAGATGGAGTTTTGCTCTTGTTGCCCAGGCTGGAATACAATGGCACGATCTCGGCTCACCACAACCTCTGCCTCTCAGGTTCAAGAGATTCTCTGCCTCAGCTTCCTAAGTAGCTGGGATTACAGGCATGTGCTGCCATGCCAGGCTAATTTTATGTATTTTTAGTAGAGATGGGGTTTCACCATGTAGGCCAGGCTGGTCTCGAACTCCCGACCTCAGGTGATCTGCCCATCTCGGCCTTCCAAAGTGCTGGGATTACAGGTATGTGCCACCGTGCCTGGCCACAGCAGGATTCTTATTTTCAATTCTGCACTTTGCCAGTGTCATTCCTTCACCTAGACAGGCTCCCTTTCCCTCTTCATTGCCATCATTAACTCCTCTATGGCTCACCTCCGCCAAGAAACTTTCTCTGACAAGTTTCATCACAGGATGATGACTACCTTTTCTGCTCTTGGCATGAATGTTTAGTTCTGGCTATCCTGCTATGCTGTTTCTTACTTGTTTGGCTAGTGATAATGGTTATAATAATAACAGCTATCATTTATGAAAAACCATCATTTATGGAAAAACTACTACATGCCAGGTACCTGACTCGGCTATTGATGAAGCTCAATAATCTTCCCAACAACCACACAGGCTATGTAGATATTATTCCTATTTTATATATAACATGACTATGGCTTAAGGAGAAATCACTTGCTCAGGGCCACAAAGCTTGTAAGTAGCAAAGCTAGGATTTGAACCAACGGAATGTACCATCCACAGTGTCTTGTGGACATGCTTAGTCATTTTGTGAATGGCAGCTGACTCTGGCCCAGTTTATCATAGGCAGTCATTTTATCTTCTGCTTTTGCATTCTCGATGCAAATAAGTAGAACGTAAGAACAATACTTTTTGTTATAGGTGGAAGTTTCCAGTTTTCTACTGCGGGATTGCTAAAGAGTCATCTTTCATCTGTGTATTGGGATTACTGGAAACAAAACGGATTGATTTTAAGGTCATTGTTTAACGTTTTTCTCTCTGTGAACGCCTAACCTGCTTCCTTAAAAGAACATCTGATTTAAACCACGTCAAATACCACTGTCCTTTGTCCTGAGGCCTAAAATGTTAAAATATCTATTTATGCCCCAGGTATTATATGCCAATGCTTTCTCTCTCCAATCTGACCTCATAGTCACCACTATAACGGCCCACGAGACATTAACAGCTTCCAATTACACCCAGAATCTCCTCAGTAACATAGTCTATTAATCTGTACTATGCAGATCCCTGGAGCTGGATACTTTTCTAATAAGAATGAAAATTTTTCACAAGATTCATCCAGGGCTTTTTGCCTTTTCTTTTTTTAAGACTGAATACTCTCATTTTCTAAATGGCTCCAATATTCAATACTTGGCATTTTTCTGTCATTTCAATATTATATAAACCTTTATTCATACATTACTTTTGTCATTTAAAACATTCCGATGTGAAAGGTATTGATTAAATGCAATTTATCTATATGCAATTATCAATTGATTCCTCTCAAATCTCTTTTTCTTGACCCTTGTTTTCCTTTTTCAAATGTCAAATTTAGAGCTTCAGCAGAAAAATTTTCCATCACTACTTTAAACAGTTTAGCGTGCAATATAATATGACCACATTTGGCCTCTCAGAAGGGTGGTGTTTGAGGCCTGAAACCAACATTGTTAACAAGGGAATACAAGTATTTTTCAACGTAGATCCTTACCTTTCTGCTTCGAGTCGCATCTCCTCCCTCTTTTGCCTTCTAAGTTCTCTGCGACGTTCAAAATCATCCATGGCGTTATTTCCGGTTCAGGGAGCCCAGACGATTTCTGGACCTGAAGTGGAGGAGGTAGACTCAATATCATAGATGGCTCAGCGTGTTACCTCTCCTGAGTCACTGTGGTCCCTCCTTCCCATTTGTCATTGCCCCTGAGTTTTCTTTACTCAGAAAGCTGATAAGGTAGCCAGTGATCAATTTCTGACTCCTGAGCCGAGTTAAATTCAGTCTCATTCATGAATCTCTTAGAGGCAAATAAGTAAAATCCCAAGATTATATATAATTTTTAAAAGACCTCAGGAGACAGAGAGGTTTTGAAGACTTGAACTGTTGGTATAATCACTTGAGATTCTACTGAATGATTTTGTTCTTTGTAACTTACTGAACCCCAGACCAAAGCTATGAAAAAGTGAACAAAGAAGGAGGAAAACAGGAATGATAAACAAAAAAGAAAGTGGCAAGAAGACCGTGTAGAAACCAGGAGAAAAGTGAAAGTGAGAAATCTATCAGTATCTAGGCATGTAATGTGTATATTCTCAAAGAAGCATTCAGGATTTTAATAAAGACTGCGGCAGTCACATCATGAATAAACATAATGAAGCAACATTTTTAAAAGCAGTTAAGTGGTGATCAAGCTGTTTTCCAAGCTCTAAAATCACTGCCCTTTCTACAGATGTAACCCAACCATTTTACCCTTTCCTACCTCCTCGGTGATGGTTTTAATTCCGGAAAGACCTTCCCCTTCCAGCTCTTCAAATGAGGAGCCCGTTTCCCCTGCACTTCTGTGCCATGGAGTCAAGTATTCCAGAATTCCCCTGCAGCCCCCAAACCCAAAATGACTACCAGAAAAGGGGAAGCGGGCTCTTTTTGTCCTTGCTTTGTTTACAGAGCTGTCAGTGGTTAGTTAAACTCGGCCTGGAATCTGGCATTTAAGGCCTGCTTGAAGATTGTTTCCTGTGCGGAACGGGAGGCCTCCACTTCCTCTGGAATCCTAGACTCTCTGCTGCACTCGAATCACAAAAATATTTTCCAGCCCTTTCTGTGCACATGAGACGAGCCATTTGCCCTGTGCAAAAAAATAAAGAGCTGCGCAAAACCTGAAGCCCTCACACCTGAAGGCATCTTGGTTTGAAGGAGCAAAAAACAAAACTTAGATTTTGAAGCCAAGTTCAGAAACCTTCTTAAATAGTCAAATTCTTTTATTTTCAAAGGTTTTTTTTCCCCTCTTAAAAAAAACCCCACAAAAACAAAAATAAAACCTCAGCCAACAAAAGCAAAACTATACAATGTTTGAATTTTTTCCCCTTTCGTATCGTCTAGGGTATTATTAATGCTGTTTATAAATCTTTAGAAATTCAAATCTTGGTGTTTATTTGGAGTTTTAGATTTTTGATGTTTATCGGTCTTGCTCTTACCAAGAGTACTTCCCAAGTCTTTGCTAGTTATGAAGGAGACAACCCATTTTCCTTCTTACGATTCCATCAACCACAAAGACATTTCTCTACACTTTCCAATCTAGTCTATAATTATCAGAATGGAAAAAAAAAGTGATTTGAGGGTTCTCTAAGAGGCCATCGGAGGGTCCTTCTCCCTGGGGTAGGGTCCTCTTCTGACCACAGAGCAGGAATGTGTGAGAACAGCCCTGTGGGCAGTAGGGTCTAAACTCATGGACTCGAATGCCAGGTGCACTGGGAGAGTCGATTCTCCTCTTCCTTCAATGTGGTCTTTTGTTGCATATAAACTGCCTCTTGAATAATTATAGCAACAGTAAGCAGACATGGGAGAAAGAAGTCTGTCTACAAGCAAGTAATTTTACCTTTTAAAATTTATCCAAGTAGCTGAAAGAGCATCCTCTAAGCCTCTGTCTGGTTTTTGCCCCTATCTCGTCAAATGTAAGTAGTCATTCTGGCTGCTTGTCAGCAATGGTTGTTCTCAGCCTATACGTCTGGTGGAGGTGCTAATGAGCAGTGAAATGAATATCTCCAAGCAGGCTGGAGATGCACATGGTCTGCAGAGCCCAGGGTGTCTTGGAATACTTAGAGGGAAGTGAAACTAACATCGTGAGGTCACTCTGGCTGGCCGTCCTCACTGGCTGTCAACCCACACAAATTCTTTTTCGTCTACCCATTCTCTCCTCCCTCTCCTCACCTTCTCTTGCTTACTTGGGCACTTTTTCTTTCCCAGCCATAGAAACACTACCTGTCATTGGAATGCTGCTGAGTATACCTGTGGGGGCACCCAGAGGGGGACAGAGAGAAATGTGTGCTATTTCCTGTGTCTCTACAGACCAGTGCTTTTCTAGGTGAGGCTTTGTGCACATGGGTGGGTGTAGCCAAGAGGAAAGCACAAAACCACATCTGTGTACCATGTGGTAGGACTCTCGATGGTGTGTGTGTCTCATGTGGGGGAGAGAAGGTGTATGTGTTTATGAAAATGGCTCTCAGTATCAACCCAGGATGGGGATGAAGATCCTCTTTCATCCCTACACCCTTATATCCCAGAGCTTTTCTGTATTTCTTTGGCCTCTTTCCTTTGTAAGAGGAGCCACGTCTAGGTAGAACGGTAAGTGATTTTTTTCCTTTTTCTGTTCCATGTTCCCAGGCAATAATCCCTCATTTCCTGCCCTACCCCACTCAGTGCTGAATTCTTTTTTTTATTTTTATTTTTGACACGGAGTCTCACTCTGTTACCAGGCTGGAGTGCAGTGGCACGATCTCGGCTCACTGCCATCTCCGACTCCCTGGTTTAAGCAATTCTCCTGCCTCAGCCTCTGGAGTAGCTGGGATTACAGGCACATGCCACCACGCCCGGCTAATTTTTATATTTTTAGTAGAGACGGGGTTTCACCATGTTGGTCAGGATGTTCTCTATCTCTTGACCTGATGGTCCGCCCACCTTGGCCTCCCAAAGTGTTGGGATGACAGGCATGAGCCACCACCCCCGGCCTCAGTGCTGAATTCTTTTCAGCAATGTTGGTTAGGAAACAAACTCTGAACCAATGAAGGGATGAAAATCAAGACAGGATGACTCCATCAATAGTGAGGCTCTGGGTGTCACAGATAAAGTAATATAAAAGAGCTAATTATCGATGTTTGTGACAGACGGGTTCTCAAAGAGTTTTATGAAAATCTAAATTTTTTGCTGCAAGGGGGATTTTCGTCATGCAATTGAAAGATTTACTGAGGTGAGTTCTTTTGTAAAGAGGGGAAAAACAAAAACCTTAACAGAGGCAGATAAGTCATTACCTATGGATACTACTGTCTTTTCAATAAGGGTTCTCATAGATTGGATTTTCTTTTGAAACAGGGCATGCCTACACTGTCATGATTAAGAAATAAGTCAGCGTTAAAGGTGTCTGGCCGGTGCAGTGGCTCACACCTGTAATCCCAGCACTTTGGGAGGCTAAGGTGGGTGGATGAACTGAGGTCAGGAGTTCAAGACCAGCCTGCCCAACACGGTGAAACCCCATCTTTACTAAAAACACAAAAAATTAGCTGGGCGTGGTGGCGGGTGCCTGTAATCCCAGTTACTTGGGAGGCTGAGGCAGGAGAATCGCTTGAACGGTGAGGCGGAGGTTGTAGTGAGCCAAGATTGCGCCACTTCACTCCAGCCTGAGCGACAGAGGTAGACTCCATCTCAAAAAAAAAGGAAAAAAAAAAAAAAAGATTTCAAATTGCTGAACACACTACCCTTCCTTTTTTTTTCTTTTTGTGATGGAATTTTACTCTTGTTACCCAGGCTGGAGTACCATGGCGCTGTCTTGGCTCACTGCACCTCCACTTCCTGGGTTCAAGCAATTCTCCTGCCTCAGCCTCCCGAGTAGCTGGGATTACAGATGTGCGCCACCATGCCCAGCTGATTTTTGTATTTTTAGTAGAGACAGGGTTTCACTATGTTGGCCAGCCTGGTCTCAAACTCCTGACCTCAGGTGATCGGCTCACCTCGGCCTCCCAAAGTGTTGGGATTACAGGGGTGAGCCACCACGCCCAGCCTGTCCTCCTTTTTGGTAACAAAGCCACAGGCCTGTGGCCTAGGGGATTGGCACGACATGACAAAAGATGTGTCCTGCATCTTACCACCATGCCAGGGCTTCACGCCTTTCCTCTCTTTCCTTTCCTTCCTTCTTGCCTTTTTTCTCTGTCTCTTTTCAAAGGCAAAACATTGGCTGGTATTTTTTCTGACATTAAAAAAACACTTTTTCTCTTTCTCTGTCACTTTTTTTCTTCTCTATTTCCCACCCTGTGCTGGAAATTAAAGTATATTTATATTCATTAAAACTAATTTATGGCTCTTTTCCTTAAAAAATGTAGTTCAGTATCTGATGCACATCTTTCAACCAAGAAATCTATCATGTTTTATATTCACAAAGTTTTTGCTGTTTTTCTTTTTCCCTCAATGGGCATGTGGCCCTCACTATGGATATTTCCTGTGATGCTTTCATAGGAAAAACTAGTAAGTTTCTGCTTTGTTTGTGTCCAAGTTGGTGACAGATAAGTCATTTTAGGTGTGTGTGGGTGTACCCGCCTGTGCACACGCATGTGTGCAAATGCAGTCAAGGCGGAAGAGGTTTGTGACAGGTGGCTTTTCTAACCCAGCACTCAACACTTAGGGACAAGGCCACATGGAGGAAGCTGAGTCTTATCAAGTTTTTTGGGCTGTGCCACTATTGATCCTGGAATGCAGGAAGAATAAAATCCATCGTGTCAGGGAAACTGAATAAGTTAATATAGCATCCAAAAGGAACTAACATTTATTGAATATGTACTATGTGGCAGGCCACTTTTTAAACCTTTAACATTTTTAACGAATAGACTTTATTTCTTAGAGCAGAAACAAAGTGAATAGAGAGTGCACAGTTCCCATATATTCCCCCGTCCCCAGCTCCTGGCCGCATCTTCTCCTGCATTTGGAAGTAGAATCTTTGCAGATGTAGTCAAGAGGAGGTGATTAGGGTGGTCCCTTATCCGATATGATGGTGTCCTTCTGGAAAGGGGATATTTGGCACAGAGACAGACACACACAGAGGAGAGATAATGTGAAGACATGGGGAGGTGCCAT